GATGTTGTTGGTCATCTTCTGCCATATCGAACAATGCAGATACAGGGTTTGCTGAACCCAAATAGCTCATCTTCAGGAACATCCAACAGTCTCATTCACAAATATACTTTCACATAATCTCTTATTTTGATATTTTCATAGCTCTCAAGTAGCTCATCTTCAGGAACATCTAACAGTCTAATCCATGAATTGTAGAATTTTCACCAGTGGAGACTTCACATTTGCCTGTACTGCATTTTCGACAATTGAGAAATGACCAAAAGAGTTTGAGGTTTATGAAGTGTCAGACCTTGCTACAACTCAAATCTGCTTCAATTATTAGATAAACAGTTGGAAATACAACCACATATCTTGACTATTGTATTATTGTTTCCTCGATAGCAATCGTCTGCTTTAGCTCTACTGATTCATCTGCATATTCAGGCTTCAAAGCCAACCTCAATCAGCTCTTCTTTTGGAACAGCTACGGAAGTATCTGAGTAACATCTTCACTATAGCTTTTCTGAAAGTTGTGAAATGCAATACTACTACTACTAACTACTACTACTACGTGTTTAGCCATCTTTTGTTACGCAATACTCCCTCCACCCCCTTTTATCTGCTCCAAAGGGTGAAGTTACTTTTCAAATTATTGGTTGAAATGAGTTGATGAGTGAGAAATACAGTGTGATTAATAATGTAGTGGATGTGAGAGTAAAGTTGTGGTCCTCCATAAATCATAAATAAATAAATAAATAATATGGGACAAACTTAAAGGACAGACTAAAGGGAAAATGGCACAATTATTTAGAGACAAAAGGAGTAGCACTCATATTAGCACCGTATTGCACTGCAACATTGCAATAACTTCTAGTAGTCTACCATAGATTGAAGTTTTTCACTAACCCACAAGAACAAGCACTTCATTGTGGAGGATAACATTTGAAAAAGAAGAAAAAAAAAACCTTCTAGGTCAAGATTTTGTGGTATGAAGGTATTGAATAGGGATGTCAATGGGACGGGATGGGTACAACATAAAATCCACTCTCGCCCCATCACTCATGGCGGGTATGATTTTTATCTCCATCCCCGCCCCATCACTTGCCAAACCATGACCCATCGATGGGTCTCTTACTTGACCTGTCCCACTGACATCCATACTATTGAAGGATAAACATATTAACATCTCACTCTACATTTTCTATTCCGTCTTGAAGATTCTATGACCAGTTAAAAGTAAAAAGGAAATTACATTAACAATAGAACTACAGAAGAATTACGTACGGAGTAGCATGTATCTTACATGTACTGATACGATATCACAATGTACTAACTAATTAAAGGAGACTGAGGCGAAGATAGAATTTCCATATCTATCATAACACTACCTTGTTGATTTTTATTTTAAAACATTTTTAACAATTTAAAATCGTTTAAAACTTTAAATGATTTTTGGTAAAAGAAAATAGGGTGGGTCTCATTATTTATTGTGGTCATAAGAATGACCCCTCAACGAACCCACTTTTTCCTTTAGGTGAACAAAATATATTTATTTAATTATTATAGAAAGATCTTTTTTTCCTTCAGGTGAACCTACTTTTTCCTCCAATTTTTATTTTTTTGGCAAATAAAATCCTGATTGTAAATTTTTTTTGTTGAAGACAAACAATTACCTCTAATCCACTTATTTAAGATCTAATTTCTTCTAATAACTCTTTAATCCGGCCTCACTTAATCATTTAATAATTAAATTAAGGGAAATAAATAAAATTATATAAAAACCACCACCCCAACCACCAACAGCCACCCCACTCTATTTCCCTTACCCATGGCAGCAGCCCCCACCACCGACTGAGTCCCTCACCGCTGGCGACTCCCTCCTTTATCCCCTTATCCTCTCTTTCCTTCTTCATCTTCTTCACCAATTTCCTTCAAAAATTCTAACTTCATCTTTCTCTCTCCTCAATCTAGGTTATCAATGGCTTCTCCTCAATTATCTCACAAAATCCCTAATTTATCAATACTAAGTTCGAATTCCTCTCTCCTCCTTCCACCGGCATGTCCGCCATTGATGCGATACGTTACAGTCGCGAAGCCGGAGAATTTCCAATAGAGCAGGGCTACGTGGCGCCGTGAGTTTCTCCAGCGAGCGAGTAATCGGAGTAGGGCGAGTTTGTTGTGGGTGTTGACGACGGAAGTAGGCTAGCAGTCAGGTGTGGTTGGGGTGGTTTTCGTGGGATGGGGTCATGGGGACAGCGATTCTGGTAACTTAGAAGGGGGAGGGAGCTGCTCCCATTAAGGCTGAGCAAAACTACCCAAAAACCCGAAAACCCGTTCCGTTACCGTTCCGAAAATTAGGGTACCCGATCCGATAACCATAACGGTTCGAGTACCCGTTCCGATAATTTGTTATCGGGTATGGTTTTTGGGTATCATTTTAAAATTACCGGGTAGCCGTTTCGTTCCGATAAGCAATTATTTTTTTTTCCTACTTAAATCTATGTTTTCAATATTTAAACTCTTACATTACTTCATAATCACTATAAATATCAATAATTAGTAATGTTGTTAATAATTTGGTCAAGATCATGTGGTATTGTTACTAATTAGTGTGAAAAAATATCATAATAACTAATTTTTTAAGTTTAATTATCACTATTGGATACTTTTTTGGGTACCCGATAACCGTTCCGAAAATACGGGTACCCGAAGTCCGGGAACCCGAACTTATCGGTTCGGGTTATGGATATGACTTTTAGTGATATTGGTTATCGGGTCCCCGAACCGTTAGTACTAACAGTACGGGTACCCGTCCCATGCTCACCCCTAGCTCCCATGGTGGGGTAGTGGATTTTTTTTTTTTTTATTTCTTTATAAATTAATCTAACTATCAAATGGTTGAGTGAGAGTTAGAAGGTGATTTGAAGAAATTTGATGTTAATTGAGAAAATTAGTGGCGCTAGGTTTCTTTAAACAAAAATTTTAATATTTGGGTTTTTTTTTTTTTTTTTTTTTTTTTTTTTTTTTTTTTTTTTTTAACGATAAAGCCTTTAAAATGTTTTTTCTCGTAAAATGGTGCATTTAAAAGGTTTTTATTTTTGACAAATTTTCCTTATTTTTAAAATATTTTTAACACTTTAGAATCGTTTAAAACTTTAAATGATTTTTGGTAAAAGAAAATAGGGTGGGTCTCATTATTTATTGTGGTCATAAGAATTACTCCTCAACGAACCCACTTTTTCCTTCAGGTGAACAAAATATATTTATTTAATTATTATAAAAAGATCTTGTTTTTTTTCAAGTGACCTCTTTGCACATTTACTCCCTTTAATCAAGTAAAGATGACCTTACCCATCTACAATATGAGGGTATAAGGGAAAAAAAAAATTGAAGATGACCCTAGTATTCATCTTGATTAGAGTTATGGGCTTATGGCATTAATATTCATCACTATTCAAATGTTTGCATCTTATTTATGCCATTGGTTACCCTAAACTCTCAAGTAAAAGTATCACCAGAGGCAATTAACCATGTTAATATAACCATTTGTTATTTGTTTGTACGTTACCATATGGTAAAATATGTAAACCTTAACAAGTATCTCAAAAATAAATTTTATTGGTAAGGGGAAGGACTCTGATCGAATCTCAACCCTCACGGTTTTTTTTGGTCCGGAATTTACAAGTCAGACATTTTGAAAGGTACAATCTTCAAAGTGTCTCTAGTAGAGACTAAACCCCAAACCTCAAGATTGGAAGGTACAATCTTTCCCACTAGATCAAGCTTAGCTTGGTGTATCTCAAATACATGTAAGACAACCATTTAAAGAGTATGTAAAAAGTATAGGTATTGCACATATGTTACGTGAACACCAAGTTCGTTAAGAGTGACTTGCAGAATAGAGATAAGTTATATAATTGCAAGTACATCTGTACATTTACATACTAAGTATTAAATAATTTACAATGACACAACAGCATACATTGAGGAGCAAGTGTTGCTTTCCACACCATTGTTTCTAAATCCAAGAACTTGAATTTGTTGAAGCTAAATTAGAAATTGCACGATTGAATTGAATAAAATAAATGGTCTGTGCAGAGTCATACTGTATTCGACATTACAGCAACTCAGCAAGGAGTGTAAATTACAGGACAGATGACTGAAATAGATTATCACCTGACTTCCCATTTTTTCAGATGGACAATGATAAGGCGATAATCATACAGTAGGAGAGGCTAATGCCTCAGCTGTACAAATTCATCTACAGACTTCAGATTCAATCATATTGGATTATCTTCTGGCAGTCTTGTCACATTCAAATATGCAGATGCAGGCTTTGCGCCTTTCACCTCAAGTCCCCAACCTTAATCGGTTCATCTTCTAGAACATCCTACCTATATCAGCCAGTCCGGAAATATATTTTCACACAATCACTCTCATCTATAATTAGTTTCTATATAGTAACCAACAAAACTTTCATGAATGACAAATTTTCCACCCCTGGAAAATGGAGGGTGTTACCTCCACATTTACTTGTACTATATTAGGAAAATTGAGGAAAGCAATACTCCAACACGTACTGCAGTCAGGCCACCGCATAGTACTTATAGGGGCAACTAGCATATCCATCGCATATTACTAACTTTTGATGCCTCTACTTGAAAGAACAAGTCAAACCATAATCCCCCTCATACCACACAACTACACACGAAGGGGCTGTCAAAGCCGAGGTACCATCCAACAAGATAGGCTTGGAACCCTTTTCTCTACAGTTATAGAGAGACATATTGGTCCAACCATCATCAGCTCTAGTAGTAACATGGTACTAACTCTTAAGCAAACCTGAGAGTGGTATCGGAAGTTCATTAAAGGTAACTTTAACAAATTTTCATATCCATACCATACAAAAGAAAAACAAAATTTCGAAAACCTGATAATAAGATGCAAATACAGATAGGAAAATAAATTCTTCAGGCAATTTTGTCAAAGAGTCTTGGCGTTACAGGAGAAAGGCTTAAGTTCCAACTGAATAAGAAAATTCAATGAAACACCAAAAACTGATGATATACCTGAAAAAAAGTGTCCTATTTCATGTCATAGTTTTCTGTTTGATGATATAACATAGAGTTGCACAGCAAGATTGCAACAACCTATTTGGAAGATTTATTAACAGGCAAAAATTGTTAAGAAACCCGTTAAGTTCTGAAGGATTATACAATTATGAACTTCTAAATACCACTTACGGATATTGTAGATAATGGAAATCCAACGACGAACAATTCAGCATCACATCCTACAGTTTGCAGATTCTCTAAATCTCTGAGCAGCTTGCAGAATGCTGTACTGTGAAAGATAGAGACAACCATTAATATTTCAAGGTCCGCTGCTACACTCAGGGAAAGATTCAGAGGATTTGATCATGCTGTTGAGTTCAGTTGCCACATCCACCATAGTCGGCCTGGCATGTTCTTCTGTTTCTGTGCACCGAAGTGCAAGCTCTACTGAAGCTCTTAGTTGCTCTTTAAGCTCTTCATTGGTTGACAATTTATTTCCACCAATAACAGGGTCAATGATCTCAGAGATGCTGTTTTGTCCAAGACCATTCTTAACCCATTCAACTATATGAGTATGCACACCATTGTCCCCTAGCGACTTGTCTGGCCTTATTAGCACAGCATCTTTTCCTGTCAAGAGCACGAGAAAAAACACGCCAAATGCATACACATCTACACTCTCTGACACCCTATTATAGTAACCATATTCAGGTGCAAGATAACCATATGTCCCAACTATAATATCTTCAACGTACTCTTCACCCTCAGGAACAGAAATGGAAAGACTGAAGTCAGAAAGTTTAGCAGCATTATCCTCACCCAAGTACACATTTCGAGGTTTTAAGCTCCTATGGATAATAGGCCGGTGAAAAGCAGCGTGAAGATATGCCATAGCATGAGAGATCTCCCATGATATTCGTAGCCTCTCCCTCCAACCAAGTGGTGGTTTATCATGATTCTTATCTCTGAATATTATATCATGAAGAGTATCATTTTCTACCCACTCGAAAACAAGGACAGTGTATTTGGTCTCAAGACAACAGCCAAGAAGCTTGTGCACATTCTTATGCGCGCTCATTTGTGCAGCAACCACAATTTCACGAAAGGTTCCAGAGTTAAGATTAGCATCATATTTTTCAGATTGCTCCTTCACCAAAACACATCTTCCATCCCAAAAACCTTTATACCATTTAACATCCCATTCCTTGAAGGACATCGAGTGTTGTTCCAAATTCATAGAGTTGAGCTCATCTACTGAGAAGTAGCGGATGGGGTTTCCTCTACCATGAAACAAGGAAATACTTTCCTCTAATACCAATGCTCCATTCTGTATAAAGTTATCTATGCTCCCTTTGAAAACCATGTATTTGCCACTTTCCTGCATCAACAGCGAAAATATTAACATGCTCATCTTTAGAGTTAGACCCCTACAACATTTGCATTATTTGTGTATATTCATACCATTCCATCTTCTTTTCGTCGGAGACTGGTGGTCTTCCATATCTTTCCTAACAAAGTCATTCACATAGACTTACTATTTTCTCTAGATCCAAGCACCTCCTGTGATGGTTACTGAATCCTTGCTTAACAGATAATTAATAGAATTGGCAATGATAACTTATAAAGAATTATGTAGAATTGGCTAAGAAATGAAAGAATATATAGTACAATTCTATGTCAAGTAAAAAATTTATAATGATTTGAGAATTGGGGTTATGAAATGTATACCATATCTCAAATTATTGAAGAGATTGGACAGCACCTTTTGGAATGGAACTTGAATTCTTTAGATTACAAAGTTGAAAGATATACATTTGTCTGTCTACTTTACCACCATTGTATGCTAACTAAATAAATAAACAAAAACTGTAACATGTCAAATTCTTAAAAGTCAAAATGCAGCAATATTTGACTCACCATTTATATAAGTGAACACATTCAAGATATAGAAGAGGCAAGAATTAGCCGAAATCAAGAACCATAAAGTGTCTAAGATCTTGTGGTGACTGGTAACTTAAATAATGGACTGACCCCTCAAAGGAATATAAATGGAATAAAAATATATAAAAATTCATGGTGCAAGTTAGAGCTGTTCATGGACGGGTCAACCCGCCCCGCAAAATAAGCGGGCTTGGACAACCATTTTGAAAAAATTGAAAATTTGGGCGGGCTAGGCCCGGCCCGTTAATATAAATGAGCGGACACGAACAAGACAATATGTACCGTGGGCTAGCCCACCCGGCCCGTTTATTTCAAAAAGTAATAGTTTAATGATTTTTTAGTTAGTTGATTATTTAGTATATTTTAGAAAATAAATACAAAGAGACTATATTAGACTCTAACCTATTATTAGCTACAACTATTTATTTCAATTTTATATTTAATCATTATACTTGTATTAAATAAGTTCATTCTTTCCTTTTTTTCACTAACATATGTCACAAGTTAAATATGTTTTTTTCTAGTATCATTAGTGATCAAAATTTTTTTAAGATAACTAAATCGAAATAATATTAACATATGTAAATGATAAAAAAAAAAAAAAAAAAAAAAAAAAAAAAAAAATATTGTGTTAGATATATGTAAAACAAATATTTTAGGCCCGCGAACAAGCCCGGCCTGTTAATAGAGCGGGCTTGGACAATTTATCAAGCCCGCATAAAAGGGCTCGGGTCAGCTACAATTAGCCCGTTGGACAAAAAATGAAGTATAGGCCCGACCCGTTTCCCGTCTAAGCCCGCAAACGATCACCTCTAGTGCAAATTAATTACAAATGATAGTTGTGATATTTGAACCAGTAACCTATCATAAGAGGCCTTTAGTCTTAACCACTAGATCGATACCTCATTGTTTAAATTTACCTTAATTACTATTAACTTGGTAAATTTGGATTATTCAACTTGGAGTTACTATTGTAGCTACCTAGATGGTGGTAAAAAAAAATGCTAAGGACCAAATGAGAGATTAAGAGGTTTGTAAAATGGACATCCTATGTATGCATAATTTGTCTCATACAAGAAACAATATTCCAACTAATTATACTACCTTCGTTACATATTATTTACAACGATTTGACATAAAGTAGAGAGGAAAAATGTCTAATAGTTGCAAATAATATGTAACGGAAGGTAGTATCTGTTATTTCAATTGTCTCTAATCATGTGTTTCAGTTTAATTTGTTCTTTCTACCTTTTTTTGTATGGGAAAATACAAGTTAATCTGTCAAATAAATAGATTTATCTGATGGCATTTTTGTAGATATATTGAAAAAACAGGGTAATTTATTCAATACTTTAAGTGAGCTGTCCAATTACTGTTTGCCTTTTGCTTTTACTGTTTGGTGAGAAAATTACACATATACTCCTCAACTAGTACATGAAAAGACGTATATATCCCTCCAATGGTACTTGAAAACAATTAACTGGGTATAGCTCTTTTTGTATCCCTTTTTTTATATAAACTTTGAGTGTGATACTATACTTATTTGGTGGTATTGGTGCTCCACAATTGATGTTGCTGGAGTATACTATTTTGTGTTTGAACAAAAGTGGTGTTTACAGACGTCCAAAATTTCAAAATTTAGAGCACTCACATCAGTGAGCAAAAAAAAAATTGTTCATTCTCTCTCTAGCCACTTTTTCTCTCTCCACACCCATGAGCATTTTTGGTGAGCAAATTTTATCCCACTAGTGATAAAAAAAATGCTCATCATTCTATCTCCTACTTTTTCACATATCCCACCAACATTTCTCTCTCTTACACATCACCATATTATTATTAATTATGTTTTGGTTAATGACATTTTAGTGCTACTAAATTACAATTATACAATTATTAATTAATAATTACAATTTTTGTGAATTTTGAAACTATACCAAAATATGTCAAAATGGATCTCTATTTGTAGGGAAAAAAAATTATAACCGTTGGTAAATTATTTATTTTTTTTTAATTACAAGTCGGCCAAAATAGCCATTTAGAGTTAATACCTTTTTAAAACGGTAATAAAAATCTGATTGGGTGAAGAGGGCTGACAGGGACTCGTGTCAGCTCCCCAATGTTGGTCTGACGCGCCCTGTCAGCGGTTGTCCTTAATTTTTTTTTTTTTGCTTCTTAGCCATCCAAAACGACGTGTTTTGGTGTTGAGGTGTTGTGGGTGCTTCCCAAAACTCGTCATTTTGGGTGTCAGAAGCAAAAGAAAATGGCGCCACTTTGGAGGAGTTGTGGGGCCCCAATTTTACTGTTCACCTTTAATTTTGCTCATCCTATGAGCAAATTCTAAAATGCTCATGAGCATTTTATACGTTGCTCATTGATGTAGTAACTTTTTACCTATTTTTGCTCATCAATTTTGCTCATGAGCAAAAAAAATGCTCACTGATGTGAGTGCTTTTATAAACGTTTTTTCATTTATTTATTTTTCTATTTATTTTAAATGTATTAAGCCATTAGCTTAGCACATGAAAAAAAAAAAACCCAATAGACTCTGACAATTTAACTTCTACCTTTAACTTCTACTTACCTCTGTTTTTTTAAGTTGATATGTATTCCTTTTTAGTAAGTTTATTTTTAGTTGACACATTTCTTTTTTGGGTAAATTTTATACTTTGCATCTACTAGTCAACCCCACATGCTTTATCATCCTCTTTTATTTTGTATCCTCTACTTAATATATGTGTCTAAATTAAACGCGTCAACTAAATAATGACGAATAACGTATTATGTAACGTTAGCGCTCCCCAACAAAAAACTAGGGCCAAAGAACAAATTCTACTTAGCAAGTAATTGGAGAATCTGTTTTGAAACACTCTTGATTAGTTTTGAACAAAAGGGGAATTAGTTTTGATTCAGCAATATTGTAAGAAATCACTCGCCGTTTACTGATTCCATACTTCCTTTCTGGGAAAAAGTATTTCATATTAGTAGCATTGAGATTGAAGAACCTACAAGCCGTATACATACACTGGCTTACAGTCCCATTTTACAGTATCAGAATACACAATGGCTTACGATCACATTTTACCATATCAGAAATCAGAATACAGCAATACTCCATATAATTTGCACTTCAATCCAAACTCCCAACACATTCACTGTCTTCTATAGTTCTTGTTTACACTAGGAGAAAGAGTGGAAGTGCATGAAGCGATCCAATGTCTAACAGTCTAAAGACAAAAACCCCAACAGGCTAGCATGAAACTCCAATATTGAACATGTCTAACAATAACTTTGATAATAGGAGAACAAGGAGGTGGTAAAAATGTAGCGAGCTTTTTATTAAATAATGCTAAGTAAACTAAATCCCTCTTTATGCAGCTTGCAAAAATATTTACACCAGTACTGTCCATTATAGTCAGGATATCAGCAATTTTCTAGCTCGGCCAAAAACAAAACTCTATGGTATTACTATGGCATAATTATCTTTCATTCAATTCAAGAACAGGAAAACAAAGAACCTCTGTTATATCGCTATTCTTCGGAGCTTTTAGTTCCATATGCAATGAAATTTACACCTATATCATCCGATAGAAGCCATTTCCCAGACAGCGGATTGTACACAAAACCAGCCATCTCTTGGACCTGGAATGAACACAACATCATACAATATCAGGGTTACCACGGGCAAAAAAAAGGTAAGGAAGAGGGAAAATACTAACACTCATGCCAGGAAAATGGAGAGGATCAGGATGGTAAAATTATATGATTATTAGACCTATCATTCAACTTACAGTAACAGAAGTTCGTTTAAGGATCAAGACAAGTTCCTCAGGGGTAAGAAACTTTGACCATTCATGTGTACCTTTTGGAAGCTGCAAAGCATAAGTCCAGGTCAATACACATAATAGTAAATTAGTAAGCATAACATCTGAAGTTTGCCACAACATCTAATTTTCATTCATAACATGGATTAAACACAAAAAACAAGATATATCAAATCAAACTCCAACTCAAGAGGGAATTCAGAATTCAAAGGGAACATAAAAGTTTTGAACAAGAGAAAAAACAAACAAACAAACAAACAAACTGGGCAGATTTATAGTAGCATCGATTGCAAAAAGCTCAATGCTAGGTGACACTAGCTAATTACTTGATAAAATGCTTGGCTACATAGCATCGTAGTTTCATCGACTATATACAAAGTCATTAGAGGCTATATTTTCCTATTTTCATAGACCTCATCTCTTCAAATGTAATCATCCTTCTTGAGTCACACAATTTGATCTGACAGTAATTCTAACTTCTAAGCATGCTCCTAAATCTTCAAGCAGACACCAATAAAGTGTCTTCAGCTCATCAAGACCAGGCTGTACAGAGCTTGACCCAAAAAGGATATCAAAGTCTTGTAAGGCATAGTCTTACTCCATGTGAAACATAATAAGGTCAATGAGCCAGAGCTTGAGACAAGGAAATTCAATTTCAACTAGCTCAGTTCAACGGTTTTCTAACCTCTATTGTGAAGACTAAGGATCACGTTTCATATACAGTACTTCTAAGCTTAACATGTAGCGATTTACAATTTATGGGGTGACTTTTGAAAGTTTAATTCATACAAGGGAATAGAGTGGCGCCTAAAAAGAATTCGGGAGAATATAACTGCCTAATTGTATAGACTAGTCTTATCCAATAATTTGCTATTAAATATTATACGAACTTAAGCTTGACATTGCCAGATGAATTCTATAATATACCTTCTTTTTTTTTTTTTACCATGAGTAAGTTTAAAAAAGCTAGCAAGGTTTAGGTATTTTTAAAAGCTCCATTGACCATAAGGTTCTTTATCTTTCCAAATTTCATATATGGCCACGCATGTTGCACAGTTGCCAACTTGCCGATTGCCATTGTTTCCTAAAGTTTCTCTAATTTTTTTTCACAGTCCCTTGTTCTTCCTTTTATCTCTTATTTCTCTCTATTGCAACAACTTTTTTTACCCCTTAAGCTATCTGCCTTCTCATCAATGTGTTATAGTAGCAGACTAGCAGTAAACTAGCTCTTATTTCTTTACGAAGTAAACTACTGCTTACAGCGTACCATTACCTATCGCTGTTCTCAAAATTTTTGTATTAGCACCCATATGACCATATCTAACCTTTTGACACAAAAATCAACAGTATTAGTAGTCTACTTCCTGAAATTATAGCAAAGATATAAGCCTTATTTCCATTTCTCAAGAGACATTTGTCAGATTCACTAGATAATTAGTATAATCTTATGGAATAGACATTACCTCAATCAGCTTCTTCAATTAATGATATTTGTCAATTTGCTATGCCAAAGAAAAAAGCTAATAAATTATACTCTTCTATTTACCAGAGAAGGAAGAAAAAAGGGGAAAAAAAAAAAAAAACAAAAAAACAATGGCAAAAAGAGAGAAAAGGAGCAAATAAAAAGAGTGGAAATGACAACTGTGCAGAATGAGTTGCCACAATTGAATTTCTGTGAACAGGACAAATGTAACAAATGAAACTTTTAATAATAAATACTTCTTGCCATTTTAAACAACCATAAAGGTAAAAGGGAAGTGTACCCATATGGAAAATCAAACATGGAATTACCAACAACCTAAGCAGCAATAGCAAGAGAAATAACACGAGTGTAGGTCTTGTGCATACAAGCCTACAAGGTGTGCCCCATTGTTCACAGCATCAACAAGGCTAGAAACTAAGCCTATTGTCAATAGAGGCATACCCAGTGAAGAACGTATTCTGCAGCAACTATGGCAGTAGCATATGCTCGCATGGTACGATTAATTGTTGAAATCATAGTAGCTCCATTAGGAACAGTTAACGCTGCAAGCGACTTGCAGAATTCAGCAGGATCTGCCACATGCTCAATCACCTAAAGAGAACACAATGCAATTAATTCCAGAACACTAAGAATAAAAACAAATTATAATATACTTCCTCCGTTGATGGTTAATTGCAACAAAGGGGTATTATTTGTGAGATATAAAATATTCCTTTATTGCAATTAACCATTAACGGAGGAAGTACTAGACAGGAATGGCTACATATTAATTCTCAAGTGAGCTTTGCAGTGCACAACCTCTTTGCCATAAGTGTACCTACAGATAAATCCTTTTCATCACATTCCATACCAAAAATCTCGAAAGTAACAAGACCCGTCCTAACTATTACCAACTATAATTTTTACGTTTTTGAATGGTCAGTGGGTTTTGGCTACCTATTGTGCAAATTGGGACCACCTTATTTTTAGGAGGCTTCCAATCAAGTTAACCTTTCAAAAACATTAAGTAAATGAGAAAGCAATAACATTGGTGAGAAGGTCCCCATTTTCATTTTTTGTTAAATGGGGAATTGGGGAGCCTATTTTCCCACCAATGTGGATGTTCCAATAAAGTTATTGGAAAGTGATGTGGACTAAAATTAGGTGAGAATAGAGAAATTATAGGGATCCTAATGGTTGTGATGCTCTAAATGGGTGTTACACATTATTGAAAAAAAAAAAAAAAAAACTGTTTTGGCTAAAATATTCCCACATAAAATTTTCTCGCTCCTACTTTATTACTCACATGCCCCTACTTAAAATTTGAATTTGGTCCTCATTTTCTCTCTTCTACTTTTCAAGTTTTCATAATCACATATCTACATGCCTCTAAGAAAACTTGGTCCCAATTTTCTCTCTCCTACTTTTTTTAATCACATGCCCCTTACTATATTAATCACCCCTTAAGAAAGTTTGCCTTGAAGAATGAACCAAGACAATTATTGCAAATAATATGTAATGGAGGTAACATTGGGTTAACACCATAAACTATAGCTTGGGTTCACCAAGCATCCCGAACTTTAATTAGTAGCTCAAACTACTAATGGGGTGCAGCACGTGCCACTAATGGGTAATTTTTGGCACTCAAACTAACACATCTCTAGTAATTAATAGCACATGTTGCACCCAATACATAGTTGATGGTGTGCCAACTACTAGCTACTAGTTAAAGTTTTGGGGTGCAACTATAGTTCAAGACCAATTGTGCATATATAAATTTAGTGGGGATATATTTAATTGTCAGTAGCAAAAAAAAAAAAAAAAAAAAAAAAAAAAAAAAAAAAAAAGAAAAAAAAATTGTTTAAATGGGGTTGGTAGGAGAAGGAATATTAAAATAATTGTGCAAATGGTTAGTGCCTTAGAAGAAGAGACAAATAATACAATAGTAGAGAGTCCTTGTTAAATAAGGATGTGTTGCGATTAATACGAAACAGATGAAATAGGAAAGTATTGCGATTAATACAAAACACAGGGAATATTTTTCAATGGAAATAAGGTGATTAAATTACGGTCTTTACAAGACTAAATTTTTTCCACTTGTGTATCACTCGTTATAAAAGCTTTCTTCCTAAAGTACATTATGTAGAAGTTCGGGACAAGTTACTAGGAAAAAAAAAGGACATTGCCACTAATTACCTTTGGCAATTAGAATTGCTTATTCAAATAGTTTTTTTTTTTTTTTTTTTTTTTTTTTTTTTTTTTTTTTTTTTTTTTGAGGGAAGCTTATTCAAATAGTTAGCTTGTCTCAAATTCTCATTTTTTTAGGAATCACCACGATCTCACTGACTAAGACAGATATACTAACAGAATTAGGCATCAACAAAACCAGCCCTTGCAACATTCAATGCTTAACTTGCACTCGGGCAAGAAGTATGTAGAAACAAAATACAAATTACAAGAAATCAAGTAAACATCAAATTATGCATACCTCTAAAGCAAGCACCGCATCAAACTGTCTCTGTTCTTCTACCAACTTTTCTGTTGTATAAAAATCAGTAAAGTTGTCAATACATATACATACACACAGATATCTAGGAGATGAGCAAAATTCATAGCACAGATTTCAGAATAATACAAAAGGACAAAACAGTACATATAAAATAATGCAATAGGCCATTATCTTCTTTATTGAGTTCATGAGCGAATTAAACCGGTAAATAATTAGAAAATACACTTATACAACAATAATTTGGGTCTTGCATGGAAATCAAGAGGTTTAACTACAATGATATGGACATTACATCTATACAAGATTACAAAAAATTACACCTTGCAAAGTGAATTTGTATCATGAGTATTTATGGTCTTAAAAGTCAAAACTACGTGTGCCACTTGGAAATACACAGATTCCAAACAAATATATATATATATATATATATATAGGAAAACCGGAACTATATTATGGGACGGAGGGAGTATATATATATATATATCCTTGAATTTGCACATGTTTTGTACTTTTTTCCACTTTCTTTGTCTAACTTATGTCTATAATTGTATTTTTTACTTTCATTAATGTACTTTATCCACTTTTTCCTCCTATTTCTTAAATACCGTGAAAAAAACACAAACAAGAACTATATTATGGGACGAAGGGAGTAGTAATTTTAGGGCCGAGCAAAACTATTTGAAAATATTAAATTTTAGATATCCGAAAATCAGATATCAGATATTCGATCCGATATCCAAATAATTATTTCATTTTTATTTCACGGTTTCAAACATACAATTACTCTTTAGAATTTATTTACTCCCAAAATCCCAAACCCTGATTTCATTTTATAACCCTTACTGCCTCTCTCTCTCTCTCTCTCTCTCCTCTGTGTATCCTCTCTCTCTCCTATCTCCCCCTCACTGCCCCTCTCTTTATCCATCAGTTCTCCTCCTCAATGCCTCTCTCTCTCTCTCTCTCTCTCTCTCTCTCTCTCTCTCTCTCTCTTATCTCCAAAGGTTCGTTAGACAAGTTGTAAGACACAGGGGCGAAGCTCCCTTTAATTAACATAGGTCGTGAGCAATCTACTGGATGGCGGCTTCCCTCCTCTATCACAGTGGCTCCACCAACGCATCCTTTGATCATCAAGCACCCATGTCAAGTAAAACCAATACAATGAGGATCTTGGGTGGTTGGGTGCCACCATTCACCACCTCCTCCACGCTCATTCTTCTTAAGATTCTTAACTTGGTGGATATTATCTTTGTACTCCCTCCGTCCCATAATATAGTTCCTATTTGTGTTTTTTCATGGTATTTAAGAAATCGGAAGAGAGAGCATATGAAATACATTAATAAAAGTGAAAAGTACAACTATAGACAAAAGTTAGAGAGAGAAAATGGAAAAAGTACATGGCATGTGCAAAATTCAAGGATAATTTAGAAAGTACAATGAATAATACTAAAAAATGTGAGGGTATAATAGTCTTTACATACTATCTAAAAATAGAAACAGGAACAACATTTTGGATCTCTAAAATAGAAAGCAGGAACTATATTATGGGACGGATGGAGTAGGAATTAGCATTGGTTGTATAATTAAATTAGTAGCAAGTAGCACATTGGTGGGTAATTTGTAAAAATTAATTGCACTTTTGAAATTCCTATTGTATTTTATTTTTCTCTTTGTTCATTTATTAAAAAAAAAAAAAAAAAAAAATTCTGTTGGGTATACAACATAAAATAAAACAAATAGTTTAATGTAATATATTGCCTTTACAAAAATCAATTTGCTATTAAAATAATATTTAAACCATAAAAATTTTGACTTTTGGTACCTCGAAAAGGCTTCTATTGACTTTTGATACCCATCAAATATTTTATTTTATTTTATTTTGGTAACCTATCAAAGTTACAAAATGTAGATTTTGGTACCAATTAACAAAATCCATTAGTGTTCCGTTAAGTGGGGCCCATTATCTAATTAATTAATAATTTAATTTATTAAAAAAAAAACTAAAAAAAATCTCACAGCCACTGCCACCCCTCCCCGTCAGCCACCCTTCCCCCTCCCCATGACGACTGTCGATGCCCAAACGTTCCCCTGGCGCCGACCTTCCCTTTACCACTCTTGCTTCCGTGACACCACCCAACTCCATCAACCACTACTCCAGCAACCGCAAAATCAGCCGCCTTCACCGCAACTCCAGTCACTGCAACAACGGCAGCTTTCACCGCAACTCCAGCACACAGCAATTCCAACCTCACTGCAAACCCCGGCAACCCGCAAACTCCAGCAACAAAAGCGGCATCATTTGGCAGTAATACAGCATTAAAAAGCCCTAATTTGGGTCCAAATTGCTGCTGCTTTTGCTAACCGGCGGTTTGAAGTTGGCCGGAATTATACGGTTGCTGTATATGGACGGCAATGGTGGTTGGTGCGGCTGCTGTAGTGTTGTGAGGGTGCGAGGAGTGGCTGTTGTGGTGCGGATTGTTGCAGGCTAGTGTTTGGAGAGGGGGGTGGGGTCGCCAGCACCGGCACGGGGAGCGGGGAGAGAAGGTGGCAGGACAATGGATGGGCCCCCCTAACGAAAACTGTAACAGAAGTTAGACAGAGGTACCAAAAGCTATAATTTTGAACTTTGATAGGTACCAAAATAAAATAAAATTTTAGATGGGTATCAAAAGTCAATAAAGCCCATTTTCGAGGTACCAAAAGTCAAAATTTTCTATTATTAAAGTGATCAACCATCCAATCCAAAAACTTACGGATATCTTAGTTTTAAAAGGCGCAAGGCGCACAAAGGCGCAAATGGCTCTTGCAGCCTAGGCACGAGGCGCAAGGCGAAGGCGCGCGCCTTTTGTATGCAAGGCGCATGTATTTATATATTTTATTTCAAATTATTTTTTACTTTGATAGTACTTAATACCAATTAAATAGATTCATGATAAATTAAATAATGATATATTTAAAGCTAAGGTAATCTGAATTTGAAAAAATGTCCATCATTCTTCAATTTATAACTTAAATCTTAGTTATTTTCCTTGAGGCGCAAAGGCGCGCCTTACCAAAGGCACTTTGAGGCGCACGAGGCACGTGCCTTCCATAGGTGACTGATCCTCGCCTAGCAAAGCCCATTTCCCAGGATATTTGAAAATTTTGGATCGGATAAGGATATCGAATATAGAAATTTTTGGATTCGAATATCTGTATCCTATCCATGATGATCCCTTAGTAATTTAACATTTTCGACACATAATAAAGCACTTTCCAAACTTCACCTACAACTAAACGTCTTAACCTCAAATGTAATTGAACATCATAATCACTTTATTCAATGAAGTGTTGAGTTACTTTGTATTACTTCAGATGTGTAAGTTAACATACACAAAGACAGTTGATTTGAAAAGTATAATGTGTATCAGTACATCACTCTATTCTTCAAACATAAAAAAATAATAATAATAATAATAAATAAATAATCATGCCCATATCTTAAGTCAAGGCTTTTGACCAAGAAACCAGGTTTGTGAACCAGAACAACTTTTCTTTTCTTTTTTTTTTTTAAGGGATCCAGAACAACTTTATTCATCACTAAACTCAATACTTACACAGTTACACCAAAATTCAAGCTTTACAAAGTTGTATCATGATCAAAATCTTTAAGAACTCTCAAACACCAACACATCATAATCTTTACTTGACCTCCCTCCATATGCTTCACTTAACCGCATTCATTATCTAAAGGCATCCTAGCTGCTATGGGTATTAAAAGGAGTGGAGTTTAGGTAGTTGCATTATGATCTAGTGGATTGGGTAATAAGCCAGTTAGTTAGAGGAAGAGCTCTATAAATAAAGCTAGTTGGAGATAGAGAGAATTATTATGAATGTTAATGAGAGTTCTCTTTTAGTTATTTTGTATTTTATAATAAACTAACCTAAGGAGGGGCAATATGGGTAGTCTAGTTTTTTTAGGATAATGGTTTATAGCCTAGTATAGATAGGGAGAGAAGGGAAAGGAAAAGGTAGGCAGAATTTGGGAGTGAATCCTTGAGTCACTATTTGGAGAGTTGTGAGCTAAACTCACTAATAGAGATTGGCATCCTAAAGTTTCTAGCTTGTACAAACACCGTTTTCAGTATATTCAATCAAAGATTCGATCTTCTCTCTTTATTTTTATGTCCTCTTGGCGTGAGTTTAATCAGTAAATTGTTAGTCCATTACAATACTTCTCAAAAGCTTGTGAATATCAGTTACTTGTTCACATTTCCGGTATATCAATCATAATCAGCTTCTTTTAGCATAAAAATATCACCATTAAATCTGTCAGGCTATGTCAGTTCATAATGCTAATCGTTAAGAAATTAGCAGCATATGGAAGAACCAATCTGGCAAGGCATGTAGATTTATAATCAAATTATTCAGTTCGTTTCAATAGATCAATCCAAAACAATCTTGTGTTATCAAGAGCAGGGTTATGATGATGTTGTTGATGGTTGACTTCATAAAGATAAGGCCGAACTTTATGACTCTGTTTATGTGATTTTTCGAGTCTTTTCCGGCAAATAAGCAATGCATCAGACATTTTCCAATACGAAACCTTCAAAGGTTCAATTAAGTCTGGGAATGATATTCAAGTAGAACAAGATCTTTGAAAGCATATCAACTGAAATATGTAAGCTACAATTATTACGTAAACCGTAAAACCTAAACAGCAAGTCAGCAGCTAGATACAAAATCACACATCCATTGAAAAGAATAATTAACAAGCAGGAAAAAAACCTGAGTCATTCACTAGCCAACTGAAGATACATATAAGACAGAAGCAAAAGAAGTATGATAGTATGGGATTGATGCTCAATAACCATATAATAGTGATTTAACATAGCAAGTAGAAAAGATCAAGGCATACCAGCTGTTGTGCAAAGATATTCAATGGATGAAGTGGCTGGATCAGACTCCTGTGTTTACAATAATGTCAAAAAACAAACAAAATAAGAGGAAAGTAGCAGAGAAACAAAGAGCAGCACATGTGATTAGCAGCTTTACCCTGCAATGACAAGTTTTTTTTTTTTTTAATTAATTCTCAGTCAATTCACAACTGTGAGCCCAGTACATCTGACTGAAATTAAATACAGTAATTAGCCTACACAACTAAACTAAATAAAATGATAAATCATAATTAAACTCTTCACTGAACTGATAAGCTCATGATGATATATACTCCCTCCATTCCTAGTCAAATAATTGCAAGAATGTTTGCACAAAGTTGAAGGTAATAAGTTGTCTTTGGCTTATCAATTCATAGAAAAGTAGGTGTGATTGGAAATAGTAGATGGTTATTTATTTCAATGAGTGAGAATGTGAAACTAAGGCTTTGTTTTTTTTTTTTTTGTATTATTTAGTAAATGGTTGTACGATTCCTTATGACGATTCATGCTAGCCGACCCCAAATCATTTTGGGACTAAGGCTTTGTTGTTGTTGTTGTTGTTATAGTAGTAAGAGCGTGGGACCCTAACTTTTTGTAGCGGGAACACAGGAAATAAATAATTGGGCCGGAAGTAAATGGAAAGTGTGACAACCAAATGGGGGATGAGGGAGTAATGAATACTTGAGGCATACAGTTACCATACATTTGACCACTGCAGCTCTAATCCATCACTGACACTATGACACCAGAAGATTTAGCCAGTTGATGGACAGGACCCACAGAAGACAGCATATATTCAGGAGAACACAATAATCTTGTTCAATTCCGTTTGTAATACTACTCTCATTAGAGGTTTCCTTTTGGTGTTTCTAAGCATCTTGAGAAGTTTATAAGATATTTCTTTTGTTTTGGAGTGAAGGAAGATAAAAGAGATTATTTATGGGGAGAGTTGTTTGCTAAGGGAGGACACCAGTCATTGGTGTTTAAGATTGTTCCTCCCAAAGTGTGAAATAAAATTAAAATAAATCCTCAACAATATTCTTCAACTCATTTCTCTCAGACTCTCACTAAATTCCTCAGCATTCTCATTCTAATAAATTGACTTCCTTCTTCAAGTCTATTCTAGCAACTAATTATGCATGGTCTACACTACCCCTCCCCCTTAGGGCTAATTCATTACTAAATGCTCAAACAGGTAATGTCATTCTATCAAGTGTTTGCATGCAACAATATTACCCATGTCATTCAAAGAGAAAAAACTGGAAGTCTAAGAAAAAGTAGAAAGGGATAAAGGCCAAGGCAATTCTATACATTCAGATGTTGCAAGAAAATCAAGACACATCTATTAGCAAGCCAAAACACTATATGCAAAGGGAAAAAGAAATTATTTAAAAAAAAAAAAAAAAAAAAAAAAAAAAAAAAAAAAAAAAACTTTCACTTCCGCATTTGACCGAAAAGAGAACATACAGCATGAAGGCGAGCAATTTTAATATTTTTATCCACTGCATCAACTCCAGTCACTGTAGCTCCCATTCGTGCCAAGGGCTGTATGAAGAACATATTGTCATAATTTAACCAAGTAAAAATGATATATAACTAGCAGAAAACAAAATTTGCGGAAACCAGCAGCTTGCTTCATTTTTGATAAATTTAAGACAAAAGCATACGAGCAAAGCAGATGCTTGCTTCATTTATGATAAATAGAGAAAATGTTGTGTTTTAAATGAGATGGAGGGATTATTGATATCATAATATGATCTCATTTGTTGAATTGATATTAAAAAATGGCATTATTGTCTTAGCATTATTAAAAGGCGCGTATAGATTTTAAATGCTTAAAAGAATACAAATCAAGAAGATAGAATACAACAAATTTTTTAATATTAAATCCTTTACTCCAATTTTTCGTAATAGCAATTAGTATTAGCATGTCCCGTGACCAGCTATATATTTATGGTCCCTATATTATAAAATCAGATATAATTACTCATTTAATAGAGGGAAAAAAGACAAAAAAAAAAAAAAAAAAAAAACCATTTTTAAAAAAAAAAATACTAAACCTATTTTTTTTTTTTTTTTTTATATTTATGGTCATGAAAATTTAAAGTAGAGTAGCAACAAAAAATTTCAAGGTCTACTTGAAGTCTGGAACTCTAACTGCTCACCTAGTTATACACTCTCCCCGTAACCCCACCCACAGCATTCTCTCTGCATAAGAATAGTACCTATCCCCCCCCCCCCACCAACACACAAAAAAATATAATAAGCAGCAAACTTGTAGTAGGTATAACAAAAGAACGAGCACGATACTGAAGCATAATATACCTCTGATAATATTCCTCCTCCACAGCCAACATCAACAAATTTCAGACCTTCAAATGGCCTAGCACAGTTTGGATCTTTTCTGAATCAAGTAAACAAACCCAAAAGAAGAAAAGGAATCCAGTTTAACCTCTCCTTCAATGAAGGCATCAAAGCAAATTATGATTCTGCATTAACCATTTCAGACAAAAATCACATGAAAATTATGGTGTATTAGCTCCACTTTTTTATTTCTACCTCTTACTTTTATCTCTTATTTATCGAACAAATTATCCAGGAAAAATTAATATAGACATTGAGCAAGGAGAAAATCAGAAAGCAGAGCAGCAACACAGAAAATATGCAATTTCAAAGGAAATTATTAAACCTGAAATGATGGCAAAGCGTTGAACGTATGAAAGCAAGCCTTGTGGGATTTAAAGCATGCAACGGTTTGAATGGTCCTTTAGCATCCCACCTAATTGCAACAAAGATATTATCTTTAAAAATTATTACCCTCATGGATCAATCTTAACTAGTATAAAATCATGCTTTAAATATATGCCAAGTTCAGGTAAAATAAAGCTTCTTCTAATCATTAAGAGAAAGGCTCAACGAAGGAAGGAAAGGGCTTTCGGAGATCAAGATTTCCTTAGTTATTCATCGCAAAAGGAAGAAGACCAATCTTTCTTATACAAAGTAGTTAGAAAAGTAATAAACAGAAAACTCATTACCAAAGAGACTTATAGACCAATCATATTATGTTGACAGACATGGAGCAAATAGCTGCAAGCCTGCTATACATAATATTGTATAGACACAAGTATATAGGATAAAATAGTAAGACAGATGACAAATTTAACTTCTAAGAGAATATGAAAACGGGCTAGGCAACCCAACGAGGAGAGTTCAAAATCATTACAAACCTAAAAGGGGGGCTCCTCAAGCTTTTAAAGTGGTTAATGTCTCTCCTCTTCACGAATGAGGAACAGCTCATATGTGCACGGCATGAGGGTTCATCACAAAAACCACTCATTATTTAATGCATGATTTAGTTATATAAAATCACATGATTTGTTGATGTTCAAAGACTTAACACACACTGTATGCTGAGAGAAATAGAGAGAATTTCACATTAATCAATACATCAATTTTGCTAACTCTTAAGATATATATACTACAACCCTCCCAATAAAACAACATTCTTCATCACAACATGTAATAAGATTATAACAAGCAAACCGAAACCAACAACATCCCCAGTGATCTGCAAGAAACTGAATACGTGATTGTCACAACTCTGTAGTACAAGGTTTAACAAAGCAAATTCAAATTTAGACCCTAAGGCTCTGTTTGTTTTGATGGAAAACGTTTTCCTAAAAAATAATTTTTCTCATTTTCTATTATTTGGTTAGTTAAAAAATGGAAAACAATTTTCCCAAAGGTGGAAAATAGTTTTACCAAGAGTAAAATGTTTTCCTTCTAAAAGGAAGGTTATGCCACATTTTTATCCCTACTCCTTACATACCTTACCTCTCCTCTCTTTTTCTTCTCCCTTCCACTCCTATTTTCTTCCCCTTCCTATATAATTTTTCTTGCTAGGAAACAAAGGATAACTATTTTACAAGTGTGTTTTCCCTTAAAAATTATTTTCCATGAAAAATCTGTTTCCTAAATAGTTGTTTTTCGTTAAAACAAACTGAACCTAAGAATCAAAACTCATGTTCGAAAGAGGGGACAACCTTCTTATCCGTATTAACCCTGCTCAAAAAATCCTACATGTTAGCTCACTAGTTACCTACAAACAGAAACTTAATTGTTTATATATTTCGCAATATATCGTTCAAATAATCACATTGCAAAACCCCGAACCTTAGCAAGGAGAGCGGCCCCATTCTCACCAACTGTAAGCAGATAGATAATGCACCATGGTATTGTACCAAATTATCAAGGTAAATATGGCAATGCCAAAACATCCTAATCGATCAAACTCATCAAATAGTGTGCAATAAAACCATCAATTTAGCATAATATCATGTTAATTTAAAGTATTTCATGAAATCAGAAATTGGCAATCAATTCTCCACTATACTACAATCAAATCATCAATCATATCATCACAGATTTACAATGCCATCAATTTACAAGTTTCAAAGCAGAATAAAACATCCATTACTATTCTAACCAATAATTTAATCGAAAAGTTAGGAAATCGCACCAGGTTTCAGCAATGGCGGAGAATTTCGCAAGTTCACCCTCATTCAAGGACGACTTGACTGAATCCTTAGCTCCATTGAAGCTAATTTTAGGTTTACTGAGAGTTGGAGGAAGGGTTTCTTCGGAGGTTGTGAGATCTTTCGGCAGAGGTTGGGCGACATCAGAGGAACGCCGGAAGAAAAGTCCGGCCGATGAAATTGGTCGGAGAAGTTGAGGAGAGAGAAAATGGTGGCGATTTGCGGTGGTGAAGTGGTGGCGGAGTTGAGTTAATAGTCTCGCCGCCATTGTTGGTGAGGTTTGAGGTTTTGGGAATTTGAATGAAACGATGACGGAGGAAAGAGAAAGATTTTCATGTACTCGTAGTTCTTTGTACGATAAGTGTGAGAGGGGGTTACTAGGAGGAGCCTACGTGGTTAATAACTCAACATGCATATTCATAAGGAGTTTGAGTTTGCGATTTTGTAGAGTTGTTGTTTACTCTAAAGAGAAGATTTTTGGTTGGAATGCCGATAACTAAATTAAAAGGATTGTGAAAGATAAACAATGAAAATAAAAACTGTAATAAAGGTGGGTAAAAATCGCGGATGGCTACTTGTGCATTAGTTCACTGTGATATAGGTGTTATAACCATTATTAATACAAATACAATGATTATTCGGATGACTAAGACCGTAGATGATAAAGAAATACGTAAAAACTAGAGATAAAGTATACATTATAACTATTGAGAAGATTTATGAACATTAGTTGTCATTGCAACTTGTAGAACAATCGGATGAGCCATGTCATTGCTTGGATCGTCGAACATAGCCTTATGATGTATCTTTTGATGATGTATTTTGTAATGTATTATTTATGCATGGCTATTTGTACTTGGAATATAGTGTGAATAATCTGTCCTTATGGTTGGTCATTGCCCCCTTTATAGAGGTCTTTCGGTGGCATAAATCGGTTGAGGAAGATAAGGATGACTTCCTTGATTCTAGAAAGTAGTTGGTTGACTTCAAGACTTGGTCCCTTGATAAATGTAGATTGATTTAGGCTTCATATTTGTAGACACCCATTTGTGTCTCCCCAAAACCAAAACCGGTGAAGAGTACCTTTCACGTCGAATCATAATCGAATAAAGTGAAAGTGTGGAAAGTCTAGTGTTGCGGATAGTTTTAATTTATTTTCTCTTCTCCCTATTTTTGAAAACTTATTTTAAGAAAACAGTCAATCCAGTTTGGTTGGTCCATGATATGGGTCTGTTAATAGTGTAGTTGGATGGAGCTTGACAAGAGTTTTCCAACGATATATTATAAGTCCAATTCCGATGAATATTGAGGAAGTTATGGCCAATTTACTGAACTGGGCCCGGTTTGAGCCTTATATGCGGCCCAATGATCTAGAGGAGGGCCTAATATACATTTATCATTCCTAATGCAATTAGGAATAGTTTTAGTCTTTTAGATTTTTCTAGAAGGTTCTTTTTCATTCCTAATTTAATTAGCATTGATAAATTGACTTTTGTTGACTTTTCAGAGTTTTAATTAAAATCAAAGAGCATTTTTGAGGGAAGATACAATTTTATCCTCCTGTACGGCAATTTTTATCTGATTTTAAGAAAACGCGTGAATTTCCATATCAACGCCAAACGCCAGCTGTAGCGCCTGGCGCTAATGTTGGCGTCTGGCGCCAATAGCCAGCGTTGGCGCCAACATCGTTTTAGGTGCGCCAGAACTCTGTTTTGATATTTTATCTTTTTGGCTGATTTCTCTATAAATAACGTATTAAAAACTCCGTTTTCGATAACGAGTTTTCATCAACAACCAACTCTCATCAAGATTCTCTTGATTACTCTCTCTCTCTCTTTTCTAAACTAGTTTCTCTCAAATACAAAATTCCGCATTCATTAGATTTAGAAACACCTAGCCAAGTTCGAAGTTGTCTTCGCCCTAGACGTGAAAGGTTTAATTTCTGAGGGTTTGGTCCCAAATCTCTCTTTCAATTATTTAATTTAATTGTTTTGTTTATTATTTTCCTTGAAGTTACTAACGTGTGTATTTTGTTATTAGAAAGAGGTACGAGGCATCAAAGTAAGTACTTTAATGGTTTTTAATTGATGTTATGCTGTAGAAATCATGTTTAGATTGTTATTATGATTCCTAGTATCATGTCTAGGGTAACTTTAATACTAAGTATGATTAAAAGTATGATGCCTTTTGATTAGGGGATTTTTCCCCACCAATCACCATCTGACAAGTGGACCAATCAGGTTCCGCCATGTGTCCGTCACATGGGCCAATAGGAGCCTGCCACGTGTCAAGCAATGATCCGTCCACCATGGACCAATTACGACACGACACGTGTCCTTCCCATGACACCTGGGATAACCGGCCACCTAGGCCCAACTTCCGAGGGAAGCCCAATCAGCCCAAGGTTAACCTAAACCTAGATTGGCACGTTTCCCAAGGTTATAAATACCTCCCTTAATCCTCATTAAGGGAGATTACATGCTGAACACGCTAAAAAAGCAGATTACTCACATTAAACACTCTCACCTAGAGAGACCCAATCACTTTAATTTCCGCATTAATTACTCCTTAATCAAGTACTAACTTGACCGTCGGAGGCGGATCTCCAATCATCCGGAGCATCCGTTTGTTTTGCAGGTACAGGCGTCCGGTTCCAGTCTCAGAATTGTAACTCTCCCGCAGGACATCAGAAAACCCGAAACATTTGGCGCCGTCTGTGGGGAGAGTACTTCTGAGATGGCATCTGTTTCGGGGTTTTCTGATGTCCTGCGGGAGAGTTACAATTCCGAGACTGGAACCGGACGCCTGTACCTGCAAAATAACGGAGACTCCTGAGAGCTCCGCCTCCAACGGTCAAGTTAGTACCTGATTAAGGAGTAATTAATACGGAAATTAAAGTAATAAGACCTCTCTAGGTGAGAGTGTTTAATGTTGGTAATCTGCTTTGTTAGCGAGATTAGCCGGTTATTAGTGTTCCGTAATGTTTCTGTTCTTCTCTGCTCTTCAGGGGAGATTAATTGCTTGATCAATTGCCTCTCAATTGCTTCCTCTTTTCTTGATTTCTTGATTAATGAGGATTAATTAAGTATTTATAGTCTTGAGATGCGTGCCACTCTCTAGGTTTAGGGTAAACCTAGGGCTGACCGGGCCTCTAGACAGGATTGGGCCTTGTTGGCCGGTTTTCCCATTTGGCATGGGTGGACACGTGGCGTGCCTCGATTGGTCCGTAGAGGACGTATCTGTGATTGACACGTGGCAGGCTCCTATTGGCCTTCGTGAAGGACACGTGGCGGAACCTGGTTGGTCCACTTGTCAGACGGTGATTGGTGGATAAAAATCCCCTAATCATTTGCCCCTCACAGGTGGCACGTGACTGGTCACGTGTCGCCTGTGACAGGTGTCGCACGGTGACAGGCGACGGCCTGCTACAGGTGTCACCTTGCAAACGGCCGAGAGATTTTCCCGCCCAAATTTTGAATTTGGAAGCGACCCTTCGCCTTCTCACTTTGCCTATATAAGGAAGTGCTGACTTCGGTCATTTTCACATTTGAGAACTTTGCGAGAACATTCGGACCCCTGAACTTGCTCTGACATTTCGGACCTTTTCTGCCTACCGCCTGTTCTGACAAGCCGACTGCACCGGATTTCCAGAACTTCATCAACCGTCACTCGTTCAGGTAACTCAGTTCTCTTACTCTTAATTTTCTTTTTATTTTTTGAAATGGCACCACGGAAGCACACGACACGACCTAAGTTAGTGATCAGCCGGTCACCGGGGACGGCTGAATCTAGGACTAGGAGTGCCGCCTGCCCTTTTCTGGACCCATCTTTGCCCTTTATACAAAGTCCGACTGTATCTGTGTCTATGCAGAACGTGATGGCCAGAACAAAAAAGACTGCTATGATATCAAACTCAGACGGCTCCTCCCAAAGGGTGCTCATTAGTGAAACATCTGACCAGGCGCCAGATGTAGAATTGAAACGAGGCGGCTGCCAAGCCGACAGTTCTGAGAGAGGGGCCAAGGTGGTCCCTTCCCATCTTACCGTTGATATGTCTAATTTTCCTCCTGCTCCCTCTAAGGGAGAGGAGGCGGGCCCCTCTGGGAGAGGGGAGGAGTCGTCCTCTTCGGACTCGTCAGAGGACGAGTCCGAGTCCAGCTCTTCTGGCCACAGTTCTCCAGGCTCAGAAGAAAGACATAGCCGCCTACAAGAGGCGAGACTTTCTCATGCAGTTGAGAAGGGGGACAATTGGGCGGAGCCGTCCGCCTCTTACAGAGAGGAAAACGCCCCCTACTACTGCATGGTACCCCGGGGCCGGATCGCAACCATGCAAGACAAAGTGGAGAGCTTTATTGCTAACCACAGAATGGGCCCAGAATTTTTACTGTTCGTGCCGGATCCAGAAGACACTGTCGTCTGGCCGGCTGGTACCAGCTATGATGACGGCTGCTTTGGCTGCTATGTGGCGGCCATCAAAGCTGGACTGCGCTTCCCATTACATCCGGCTGTTCAGCGGATTTTAGATGGGTATGATTTGGGGTTATGGCAGTTAGCCCCCAACTCTTGGGTAAACGTACTCGGCTATGTGGCCGGGTGCGAAATGTACGGGGTGGAGCCAAGCTTTGAGGCTTTCGCCCACATGAACTATCTCAGCCGGACCCCTAAGTCGGGTGGTACCGGCTGGTATCAATTAACAAGCCATAGGGGTTACCTCATGACGAGAGGTAAGGCGAACAAATGGAAGGATTGGCGGAACACCCTCCTTATCATTGAGGGTTCAGACACGGAGCTGAACCAACGTTTTAACAAGTGGAATAGGGATCCGCCTCTTCTCGCAGGCGGCCGCAGCATGCCGCCTGTTCCCCCAAAGGCTAAAAGAGAGATCCTAGACAAAGGACTCTTCAAAGTAGAGACTAGGGTGAACTCTACTTCAGGGGTACGAGAGCAAGTACCCCTAAACTGCGTCCCGAGCTTCAAGTGGCTCTATGACGAGTACTTTTTGGCCGCCTGTGGCCTCAGCAGTCGGTGCTCTAGAGGTAGCCGGCCTGACAAATACTTTTTTTTTTTTTTTACGCCTTGTTTACTTGGGATCTTTACTAACTTTGCTGTTTATTTTTTGCAGCTGACGCCATGAGTAAAATAACAGCATCCAAGACTGCGGCGGCCATGTTGCGGGCCTCTCTCATGCAACTGTCTTGTGCCGACTCCCCCAACAAGGGGGCACCCTTGGTAGGCTTCGAAAACTCTTCCTCTTTTAGGAGTTGTCTTATGCATATACTAACTCTTTTTGTTTTCAGTCTGGCACTCCAAGAGCTTCTTCCTCGCAACAGCCGGACCCCAAGGCCCGGAGGACGACTGTTGCAAGCTCTCCTGGGTCTTCCAGGAAAACAGTGGCGGCTGAGAAGCAGCCGGCCACTTCTTCTAAAACCC